CTTCAGGTCAAATGCAAAAGTATCCCTGCATAAGGGGCTATCAATATTGACTTCTGGTCAATACAAAAGTATCCCTACATAAGGGGCCATCAATATGGACTTCTGGTCAAATGCAGAAGTATCACTGCATAAGAGGCTATCAATATGTACTTCTGGTCAAATGCAAAAGTATCCCTGCATAAGGGGCTATCAATATGGACTTCTGGTCAAATGAAAAATTATCCCTGCATAAGGGGCTATCAATATGGACTTCTGGTTAAATGCAAAAATATCCCTGCATAAGGGGCTATCAATATGGACTTCTAGTCAAATGCAAAAGTATCCCTGCATAAGGAGCTATCAATATCGACTTCTGGTCAATACAAAAATTATCCCTGCATAATGGGCTATCAATATGGACTTCTGGTCAAATGCAAAAGTATCCCTGCATCAGGGTGTATATATATGGATTTCTGGTCAAATGCAAAAGTATCCTTGCATAAGGAGCTATCAATATGAACTTCTGGTCAAATGCAAATGTATCCAGTCATAAGGGACTATCAATATGGACTTCAGATCAATACAAAAGTATCCCTGCATAAGGGGCTTTCAATATGGACTTCCGGTCAAATGCAAAAGTATCCTTGCATAAGAGGATATCAATATGGACTTCTGGTCAAAGGCAGAAGTATCCCTGCATAAGGGACTATCAATATGGACTTCAGGTCAATACAAAAGTATTCCTGCATAAGGGGCTTTCAATATGGACTTCCGGTCAAATGCAAAAGTATCCTTGCATAAGAGGCTATCAATATGAACTTCTGGTCAAATGCAATAGTATCCCTGCATAAGGGGCTATCAATATGGGCTTCTGGTCAAATGCAAAAGTATCATTGCATAAGGGGCTATCAATATGGACTTCTAGTCAAATGCAAAAGTATCCCTGCATAAGGGGCTGTCCATATGAACTTCTGGTCAAATGCAAAAATATCCCTGCATAAGGGGCTATCAATATGGTCTTCTGGTCATTACAAAAGTATCCCTGCATAAGGGGTTATCAATATGGACTTCTGGTCATTACAAAAGTATCCCTGCATAAGGGGCTATCAATATGGACTTCTGGTCAAATGCAAAAGTATCCCTGCATAAGGGGCTATCAATATGGAGTTCTGGTTAAATGCAAAAGTATGCCTGCATAAGAGGCTATCAATATGGACTTCTGGTCAAATGCAAAAGTATCCCTGCATAAGGGGCTATCTATATGGACTTCTGTTCAATACAAAAATATCCCTACATAAGAGGCAATCAATATGAACTTCTGGTCAAATGCAAAAGTATCCCTGCTTAAGGGGCTATCAATATGGGCTTCTGGTCAAATGCAAAAGTATCCTTGCATAAGGGGCCATCATTATGTACTTCTAGTCAAATGCAAAAGTATCCCTGCATAAGGGGCTATCAATATGAACTTCTGGTCAAATGCAAAAATATACCTGCATAAGGGGCTATCAATATTGACTTCTTGTCAGATGCAAAAGTATCCCTGCATAAGGGGTTATCAATATGGACTTCTGGTCATTACAAAAGTATCCCTGCATAAGGGGCTATCAATATGGACTTCTGGTCAAATGCAAAAGTATTCCTGCATAAGGGGCTATCAATATGGACTTCTGGTCAAATGCAAAAGTATCCCTGGATAAGGCGCTATCAATATGGACTTCTGGTCAAATGCAAAAGTATCCCTACGTAAGGGGCAATAAATATGGACTTCTGGTCAAATGCAAAAGTATCCCTGCATAAGGGGCTATCAATATGGACTTCTGGTCAATACAAAAGTGTCCCTGTATAAGGGGTTATCACAATGGACTTCTTGTCAAATGCAAAAGTATCCGTGCATAAGGGGTTATCAATATGGACTTCTGGTCATTACAAAAGTATCCCTGCATAAGGGGCTATCAATATGGACTTCTGGTCAAATAAAAAAGTATCCCTGGATAAGGCGCTATCAATATGGACTTCTGGTCAAATTCAAAAGTATCCTTGCATAAGGGGCTATCAATATGGGCCCTTTTATTTAAAATTTTTTTTTAATTTTTATTTTTTTTTTTTTTTTTTTTTTTTTTTTTTTTATTTTTTTTTTTTTTTTTTTTTTTTTTTTTTTTTTTATTATTTTATTTAATTTTATATATTTAAAAAAAAAAAAAAAAAAAAAAAAAAAAAAAATGCAAAGAAAATTTTCCCTTAAAAAGGGGAAACAATATGGAACTTCATTTAAAAACAAAAAATATCCCCTGCATAAGGGGCATTTAAATGGACTTCCGGCAAAAACAAAAATTTTCCAGCATAATGGGGTATCAATATGGACCCTTTCCCGGCAAATGCAAAAGTATCCCTGCAAAAGGGTGTAAATATGGAAAAACTGGTCAAAAACAAAAGTTCCCCCATAAGGGGGATAATATGAACTTCCCGGAAAATCAAAAAAATTTTCCCGGCATAAAAGGGCTATCAAAATTTGGCTTTCCGGGGCAAAAACAAAAGAAACCCCCCCAAAAAGGGGGGTTTCCCAAAAAGGCTTCCCAAAAATGCAAAAGTTTTCCCTTTCATTTAAAAGGGGGTTCCCAAATGGAAAACCTTTGGGCAAATTCCCAAAAAAACCCCCCGCTTTAAGGGGGTTCAATATGGCCCTTTTGGTCAATTTAAAAAATATCCCACAAAAGGGGACAATAAAAACTTCTTTGGAAATCCAAAAATATCCCTGGGGAAAAGGGGGGAAAACAAATGGAAATTTGGGCAAAAAAAAAAAGAACCCCGCCTAAGGATCCAAAATGGGCTTTAAATCAAAAACAAAAGTATTCCCCAAAAGGGGTTTCCCCAAAAAATTTTGGCAAAAGCAAAATACCCGCCCTAAAAGGGGTATCAAAATGGCTTTTTTGGTCAAAGCAATGTATCCCCAAAAGGGGGGTTAAAAAAATGGCCTTTTGGTTCAAATGCAAAAGGGTTTTCAAAATTGGCCCTAAAAGGGGCCCAATCACCCCTGGACCCTTAAAAAATTTAAATCAAAATAAACCCCGCATAAGGGGGTTTCCCAAAAGGGGGTTCCGGTTTAAATGCCCAAAAAAAACCCTTTCATAAGGGCTATCAATTGGCTTGGGCCAAAAACAAAAGTAAACCCCGCAAAAGGGGTTAAAAATAAGACTTCTGGCAAAAACCAAAAAAATCCCCGCATAAGGGGCAATCAAAATGGACTTTGGGCAAATGCAAAATTTTCCCTGAAAAAATGGGGGAACCAAAAGGAATTCGGGTTAAATGCAAAAATACCCGATAAGGGGCATCAAAGGCCTTTTTGGTTCAAAAATTTCAAAAAAAAAGGTTTTAAAAACCCCCCCTTTCCCCCTAAGGTGCACAAAATGGAAAATTTTTAGGTTTAAAAACAAAAATATTTCCCGCAAAATAAGGCCCAATATGGAATTCTTTAAAAAAAGCAAAAGTAACCCCGCTTTAAAAGGGGTAACAAAAATGGGCTTCTGTCAAATGCAAAAGTTTCCTTTCATAAGGGGGATCATTTTGGACTTCTGCAATCAAAAATATCCCCAAAAGGGCAAACAAAAAAAATTAACTCTGGCAAATGCAAAATAACCCTGCTTTAAGGGGGTATCAATATGGGCTTTCCCTTTTTAAATGCAAAAATATCCCCTTTCATAAGGGGAACAATTTTGGACTTCTGGGCAAAACAAAAGTTATCCCTGCATTTAAGGGGGTATCAAAGGGGCTTCTGGCAAATGCAAAAAAATTCCCCGATAAGGGGTTTTCAATAAGGGCTTCTGGGCAAATGCAAAAATAAACCCCCTGGGAAAAAAAGGGCCTTATCAAATATGTAACTAAAAGGACTTTTGGTCAAAAGCAAAAGTATTTCCCCTAAGGGGGTATAATAAAGGCTTTTGGCCCAAAAGCAAAAATATCCCTGGATAAGGGGTTCAATATGGCCCCTTCCCGGTCAAAAACAAAATACCCTTAAAAAAAGGGAATCAATGGGGCTTCCCGGCCCAAAAGCAAAGTATCCCCCCCAAAGGGGTTTTAAAAACAAATTTTAAGGGGGGTTTTTGTTCATTACAAAAGTATCCCTGCATAAGGGGCTATCAATATGGACTTCTGGTCAAATAAAAAAGTATCCCTGGATAAGGCGCTATCAATATGGACTTCTGGTCAAATGCAAAAGTATCACTGCATAAGGGGCTATCAATATGGACTTCTGGTCAAATGCAAAAGTATCCCTGCATAAGGGGCTATCAATATGGACTTCTGATGCTTATTTGCTTTTTAATATGCTGATTAAAGCACCCTAAAAGTAGACACATCTTGACGTTGCATTTTTCTTTAAAAAGTATGTAAACAACAAAACTGAAATAAATTTAAACTTTTCAAAACCTAACCTTGGACTTAGTATCATCAATACTTTGATCTAATGTCTTCTAAATAACATGTTTGATCTATAAAACACCATGGCCCTTAAAAGAGCCCTCATTCCCTTTTTTAAATTTGTTATTGTCCTTGCAATTGTTTTTCATTCACAGGACACGTCATGTTTGAGTCCTATGTTTTATTGTCAAGCAGAAATTAAATGGAAGAGCAATGTTTTTGATGAAACTGAAACAATAAAACATTGAAACATTTCCAAGAAACTGCAAAACTCAAACTCAACCTACATCTTGAAGCTTCATGCCAAATTAGATTGAAGTCAAAAAAGTCCTTCAAAAATTCTGAATTTAAATTAATTGGCTCAAGTTCTTCATCAATTAGTATGTGTGTTTGTGTAATTTTGATTTTTAATGTAGTTTTAACAATTTTTCACTCATATTGTTATAATCTCTGCAGTGTGGCAGTTTATAGTGATGTCTAGCACTGGGATATCATGTCCCACCCAGTCACATTATCCTGACACCAGGCTGATCAGTCCTAACACTGACCTCTTAATGCTGAGTGCCAAGAGAGGCAGCTATTAGTACCATTTTTGTAAGTCTTTGGTATGACTCAGCCATAGTTTGAACCTGCAAACTCCCACATCTAAGGCAGACGCCATACCCACTAAGCCACTGAAGCAGTCAGGCGATGAGTATATATGGCTGAAAAGTCAAAAGTGAGGTACCACCTTAAAATGTACATGCTACATACTTACTCTGATCAAGAAATTAAGACAATAGGAAGAATTGTTTTCACATATGCTATAAATAACTATGAAGTTCAATGTTCTGAACTACTAATCAAAAAATCACCAGCATTACAAACAACAAATAAACAAATAAAACATGAAACTTTGAAACAAGGAAGTCACTGTGATTTTTACATTGGATTGACTGGCTTGAGTTTTGTTTTCAGCAAGTACTGTGAAATCAGACACCCAACCTGTAGTACTGTGAAGTTACATACCTACCCTCAGTACTGTGAAATTTATACACCCACCCCATAATACAGTGATATTAAATGCCTACCCTGTAGTTCTGTGAAACTATACACCTACACTGTAGTATTGTGAAATTAAATATCTACCCTGCAGTACTGTGAAATTAAATACCTACCTTGTAGTACTGTGAAATTAAATACCTACCCTGCAGTACTGTGAAATTAAATACCTACATTGTAGTACTGTGAAATTAAATACCTATCCAGCAGAACTTTGAAATTAAATACCTACCCTGTAGTACTGTGAAATTAAATACCTACCCTGCAGTACTTTGAAATTAAATACCTACCTTGTAGTACTGTGAAATTAAATACCTACCCTACAGTACTGTGAAATTAAATACCTACCTTGTAGTACTGTGAAATTAAATACCTACCTTGTAGTACTGTGAAATTAAATACCTATCCAGCAGTACTTTGAAATTAAATACCTATCCTGCAGTACTGTGAAATTAAATACCTACCCTACAGTACTGTGAAATTAAATACCTATCCAGCAGTACTTTGAAATTAAATACCTACCCTGTAGTGCTTTGAAATTAAATACCTACCTTGTAGTACTGTGAAATTAAATACCATTCCTGCAGTACTGTGAAATTAAATACCTACCTTGTAGTACTGTGAAATTAAATACCTATTCAGCAGTACTGTGAAATTAAATACCTACCCTGTAGTACTGTGAAATTAAATACCTACCTTGAAGAAGGTGAAATGAAATAACTACCTTGTAGTACTTTGAAATTAAATACCTACCCTGCAGTACTGTGAAATTAAATACCTACCTTGTAGTACTGTGAAATGAAATACCTACCTTGTAGTATTGTGAAATTAAATACCTACCTTGTAACACTGTGAAATGAAATACCTACCCTACCTTTAATAGGCCTCTGTGTATGACCCATTGATTGAATTACAAAGATATGCTGTCTTGAACATAGGTTACTGTTCAAAAACCATTATTTTCTTATAAAACTTACCAATATCACAACCTTGACATTTAGACCCCAGAATAAAGTTTCTTTATTACCATTACCATAAGTGCAATCCATCCAAAGTTCAGTTAAGGAACTTGCACTAGCACAAAAGTTATTTTACAAAACCCACTTTCCCTTAAGCCACAATGACCTTTGACACGTATGTTTTTTACTTTAATCAAGATGCCTTAATTGCAAGCCCTCAAATTCAGGTCAAGGTCGATAATGATGGTTATTACACCAAAACTAGCTTTTCTTTCAGTCAGTGACCTTAACCACTAACAATATCAATAGGCATTGTTTCATGCCCAAGGTATAAGGTAAACATGAATAGTAGCAAAAGTACTTTGCTGAGAACTGAAAATTATGTGCAGAAACCATTTCTCTTATCAGTGATTTTTGACCATCTACCTTTTCACCTTAAATCAATTAATGTTTTCTTTACTACAGGTGCAAACCATCCATAATGTTTGGTCCAGGTATGTGATGTAGAACTAATGTTATTGTGCAGAGACCATTTTTCTTCTTTGTCAGTGATCTTGACCTCAAAATTGATAGGATTTTTCCTTACACCCAAGTACAAGCTATCCACAAAGTGCATTAACTGCTCTTGCATTCAGTCTCCTCCAGGACTCTGGCCTGGAAGTGGTTTTTAAAACCACACTTGTATTTGGCAAAACCAGGTTGTGGGTCAGAGGCTTCACATTCCTGATGTAAATAGTGAACTCTCATTTTGGACACAAATAAAATCAGTTAGCTCTGTGATGGACAGACATAACATAATATGCTGTACCTTTGGGAGCATTTAAAAAAAGATAAAACCCTTAAATTATGTGTGGTTAACTATGCGGTGCACAAAAACTATCTCATCAGACTTTCAAACTGTTCTAACATTTTATGATAAATAAAAGTAGTTCCAATGGCACATACTTTGCCTATCTCACAACAGCCTAGATAAGGTATCAAGTCACCAACTTGTATTATTCTTAGTTGTGACCTTGACCTTGAGGCAGCGGTTACTACTGAATATTGTAAAGAGATACAAAAGGCTAAAATTTAATTAAAATTATTGTATAAAAGTTGTATCTTTACTGGATAGTGGTCACATATTTGTGTTTTTCCCTTTAAAAGATCTTACCATTGAGGCTGGGGCAAAGCTATGATAAGTGACACATTTTCTAGTTGGGATATAATATATAAATGGGTGAAGGTTCATTAAAATGTCTCTTGTGATTCAAACACTAAAATTTGGACACTGATGCAAGTCTATTATGGCTTCCCTTTATGTTACTTAGATCTTGAGGTTCTGATATGGCGCACACTGCCAAGTTGTGATGTATACTTTGGGAAAGTTTACACTTGCAAAAAGTTATGGACAAGACAACAAAATGTATTTGAACAGATGGATGGAGAGTCAATGCCACAACATGGACTCAACCTAAGATGGTCATATATATATATTTTTGTCAAGCAAGCTAAGATTGGAACACATCCTGACAATAGTGTTTTTTGACAGTCTTTAAAAACTGTGGATCCATGGCTAAAATCCTTACTCGAAGTGGAAATTGTTCTTCCATCTCTACCTACCTCTTTCTGTCAGGTCTGTTGAAATAAGAATTTCTCTTAAATAGATGGAGAGCAGGTTGTTATTTCTGGGGCCTCTAGATCTACAATTGGGTCCTTACCATGACAAATGTACTTTTGGGTCCTTACTGAGACCAATATACTTTTGGGTCCTTACCATGACAAATGTACTTTTGGGTCCATGCCATGACAAATATACTTTTGGGTCCTTGCCATGACAAATATACTTTTGGGCCCTTGCCATGACAAATATATTTTGGGTCCTTGCCATGACAAATATACTTTTTGGGGCCTTGCCATGACAAATATAGTTTGGGACCTTGCCAAGATAAATATACTTTTGGGTCCTTGCCATGACAAATATACTTTTTGGTCCTTGCCATGACAAATATACTTTTGGGTCCTTGCCATGACAAATATACATTTGGGTCCTTGCCATGACAAATATACTTTTGGGTCTTTGCCATGACAAATGTACTTTTGGGTCCTTACCATGAGAAATGTACTTTTGGGTCCTTGCCATGACCAATATATTTTTGGGTCCTTGCGAAGACAAATATACTTTTGGGTCCTTGCCATGACAAATATACTTTTGGGTCCTTACCATGATAAATATACTTTTGGGTCCTTGCCATAACAAATTTATTTTGGGTCCTTGCCATAACAAATACACTTTTGGGTCCTTGCCATAACAAATGTATTTTTTTGTACTTGCCATGATAAATGTACTTTTGGCTCCTTGCCATGATAAATATACTTTTGGGTCCTTACCATGATAAATATACTTTAGGGTCCTTGCCATGACACAGGTAATTTTAAATGTACTTTTGGGTCCTTGCCATGACAAATATACTTTTGGGTCTGTGCCATGACAAATGCATTTTTGGGTCCTTGCCATGATACATGTAGTTTTGGGTCCTTGCCATGACAAATGTACTTTTGGGTCCTTGCCATGATAAATGTATTTTTGTATCCTTGCCATGATAAATATACTTCTGGATCCTTGCCATGACAAATGTATTTTTGGGTCCTTGCGATGACAAATGTATATTTGTATCCTTGCCATGATAAATGTATTTTTGGGTCCTTGCCATGACAAATGTATTTTTTGGGTCCTTGTCATGACAAATATACTTTTGGGTCTTTGCCATGACACATATAATTTTAAATGTACTTTTGGGTCCAGGCCATGATAAATATACTTTTGGGTCCTTGCCATGAAAAATATACTTTTGGGTCCTTACCATGATAAATATACTTATGGGTCCTTGTCATGATAAATATACTTTTGGGTCTTTGCCATGACACATGTACTTTTAAATGTTGTTGTTGTTGTTGTTGTTGTTGTTGTTGTTGTTGTGCTTAACGCCATTTTTCAGCACATGATAGGCTATTCATGGCGGCCAGTATTAATGGTGGAGGAAGAAACCGGGAAATCACCGGAAAGAACCACTGACCCACGAGAAGCTACTGGCAAGCTTTCTCACATATCCACATTCGACGAATCCTAGACTCGAACCCGCACAGACAGAGGTGAGATGGCAGTGATCCGTAACGGACAGCGCTTTAGACCACTCGGCCACTTGGGGCCCCACTTTTAAATGTACTTTTGGGTCCTTGCCATGCTAAATATACCTTTGCATCCTTGCATTGACAAATGTATTTCTGGGTCCTTGCCATGATAAATATACTTTTGGGTCCTTGCCATGATAAATATAATTTTGGGTCCTTGCTATGATACATGTATTGTTGGGTCCTTGCCATGACAAATGTATTTTTGGGTCCTTGCCATGACAAATGTATTTTTGGATCCTTGCCATGATAAACATACTTTTGGGTCCTTGACATGACAAATGCATTTTTGGATCCTTACCATGATAAATAAACTTTTGGGTCCTTGCCATGACAAATGTATGTTTGGGTCCTTGCCATGACAAGTGTATTTTTGGGTCCTTGCCATGACAAATGTATTTTTTGGTCCTTGTCATGATAAATATACATTTGGGTCTTTGCCATGACAAATGTACTTTTAAATGTACTTTTTGTTCTTTGCCATTATAAATATACTTTTGGGTCCTTGCCATGA